CTTCTCGTGCACTCCACCTTCAAGCTGCTGCACGGTGGGTGGGTGGCATCGGTACCGCCGCATGCGCCAGCGGCGGCAAGACGTGGCCTGCGCGAGGTGTGCCGGCCCCTGCTGCCTGCCTGGCCTGCCCGCCAGCATGGGCTGCTCTCCTCGCGCCGCGCCGCCTGCAGAGGTGCTGCCCCGCTGGCTGAGCTGGTTCAACGAGTTTGCGCCCTCCCACACCTCCCCGCCCTCTTACGCCTACCCCCGCCACTTCCCACGCATCCTGCCCTTCCTGGGGTTCAACGTGAGAGAAGCCGGCCCGCGCCCGCTGCCGCCTGCGCCCGCCCGGCTGCTTGCCGCCGCCTGCCGCCGCTGTGCGGGCCAGCCATCATCGTCGCCAGCGCATGCCGTCCTTGATTGATGCCGGCCGTCGTGCGCCTTCCCGCGCACCGCAGTACGAGCTGCGCGGCTCTCGGGTGCTCTGGTCTGCTAGCAACCTGTTTGAGACCCTGCGCCAGATCATCAACGGACAGGGCGGCGCCGACATCGAGCTTGTGCCCAAAGAGGTGTGTGTGTGTGTGTGTGAGAGAGAGAGAGAGAGAGAGAGGGGTTAGATGCGGGAGGCCCCGGGCTGGGAGGGAGTGGCAGGCGGGAATGCAGGCGGCCCCGGGTGGTGGAGGGCCGGCAAGCTGGCAGCCTCGGTGCCGAGCTGGTGCTAGTGTGGCCGGCCACAGAACGGGGACGCCGCGTGCTGCATGCTGTGTGCCGTTGCGGCCAGGCCAGAGCGCGGATGCCACGGGCTGTGCCGAGCCGCCCGCCGCCGCCCGTGCACGCTCCCCTCCCCCGCGCCGCAGATCAAGGCGCTCTACGTTCCCTGCCAGAAGCACGTGCGCTCCCCAGAGACCGAGATGCTCATCCCCTTTGTCAAGCACCTCAACTGCCTGCCCGTGGCACAGGTGGGTGGGGGGCGGCCTGGGGCCGCGGCCCCGTGACGTGCCCGCTGCCCTCCCCCGGGCTGCGCCCGCTGCTCTGCCCCGCGCCCTTCCAGAGCGCGCCGCGCCCCGTGCCGCCACCCGCCGCTGCGCGCGTGGACCATGCCGCTGCAGGAGTGCGGGCGCCCGCTGTTCGACCTGGACGAGAAGAACCTGCAGGTGTGTGGGTGGGCGTATGTGTGTGTCGCAAGAATGTGTCGGAAGACCCTGCAGAGCACAGGCGCCGCCCGCGGCCCTGCGAGCACACTGCATGCGGCGCATCCGGCGCGCGCATCCCCTGCCCCCCTGCGCCCGTGCTGCTGGCCCCCCCCCCCCCCCCACCCCCGCCCCTGCCGCCTCCTGCATGATGCAGGACTACTACCACAACTCAATGGCAGAGCTGGACATTGGCAAGCTGGAGAGCGAGGTGTGTGTGTGGAGGGCGGGTAGCCTCGGGGTGCTGGGTGGGGGGCAGGCTGTGCCAGGGCCTGGGCCAGGGGGGTGGCCTCGGGTGGGGGGCAGGCTGCGCCCTGGGGGACCCCCCACTCTCTGCGAGAGGCTTCTTGGGGTGCGGGCCAGGCTGCGTGCTGGCAGGTTTGGGCAGGTGCAGGGTGCGTGCGGGCAGGTGCTAGCGGCAGAGCGGGGCCGCGGCTGGGCGCCGCCGTCGAGCACCGGGGCCGTGTGCCCAGCACCTGACCGCGCCTGCGCCCGCGCCCGCAGAAGCTCTACGTCTCCCAGCGCTTCCGAGCCATGGCCCGGGGGCTGATCGTGCTGCACAAGCACCTGCAGCAGCAGAAGGCAGAGGCGGCAGCGGCGGCGGAGGCCAAGCGGGGCCACAAGAAGCGGAAGCAGGGGGCGAGCGCGGCGGGCGGGGACGCGCACGGCGCGGCGCGCCGCAAGCAGAGCAACGTGGAGAGGGTGCACACGAGCTGATGGGCGCGGCCCCTCGCCGCCGCCACCTGCCCTCCTGTCCTCGACTTTGACCTGATCCGACCAGCTGACACGCGGCGCCTGCTGCAGCGCGCCACCCGGCGGGCGCACGCATGCGCACGGCTGGCCCGCCTCTGTGCACGCGCAGTAGACTCTTGCTGCCCGATTCTGTGTACCATCACCAGCACTCCTCCAAGACAGCCTGTATACAATACTTGCAATGCTTACAATTGTCAAACAGTTCTCGCACCAAACAGTTCTCGCATGATAGTTACCCGAAAAGGGCAAGGCCTCGCCATGCGCCTCACTTGCTCTTCTTGCCGTCTGCCAGCGCCGCCACCCTCCTGGCGCCGCCCGGCAGGAAGCAGGCCAGCAGGCCCAGCAGGCCCCTCACGTTGCCTGCAGCAGCGCGGGCGGGCACGGGTGGCGTGCGCGGACGGCTGCATGCGGCTGTGCGCGTGTGGAGGCGCGGGGAGGTGACGAGGCGCCCCACCCCACCCCACCCAAGCAGCTCCCCACGGGAGGCCAGCCAGCCAGCAACGGCCGCTCTCAGCGGCAGAAGCACCCGGCCGGCTGGCCGGCCACCAGCAGCCCGCCCG